CACACAGAAGGGCAGCCGAGGACATGTTTGTGCAGGAGAAGATCTGTAGGTGGAGTCAGGAACCTCTTGAGGGGATGACTCATGTTTATCAAGGCAGAAAATGGATCCAGAACATGCTAGAATAGACCAGCTCTGCCCACGGGTTGCAGATGCAGAGTGGAGGGTGGTGTCTGAATTTAGCTCCTTCCTTTGCCAGAGTTAGAGCTTTAAAGATCCCCCAAGCTCGGGGCTTGATGGAAAGATAGACGTCATCTGCCCGAGCCTGATAATTTCATAGGTGAGAAAACCTGGGCCCGGAGAAGTGAAATGACCAGCCCCCGCTGACCAGGCGCTGGCTCCGCATGTGGGGCTGCAGGTCCCTGTCACTCGGCCTTGGCCTCCCCAGTGCTCGTCTTCTAATTGAGCCTTTTTATGGGCCTTCTACATAAATTCTCCTTTTTCTTTTAATCTTCTTGAGGAGAGAAAGAAAGACAAACGACAATCTAATTTAGAAAACAAGAGAGTAACCCCGAACCCTTTATGTCCGGGCATCAAGAAGCCCCATAAAGCGTCTTTCCTCTGCCCTTTCCTAATATTCTTCTTTATTACAGTTTCAGGCAGACAGCACTGTAATTTGACATCTACATACACATCAAAGTGGTCGCCCCCCAAAGTCTAGTTACTCTCCACCACCACACGTTCCTCTTTATGTTTCTGTTTAAATTTTCATTCAGTGAAAGAGAACAAATGAACCAAAGAAACAGAAGCCTTATGATTCATCTTTTCAAATGCTTTCTCCTTCCTTTGCTCTGTCCCGACTGTCAGGGATGTAGCTTCTAAGGGACCATCAGTGTATGTGACGAGAAAATATAATAACAACAGTGAGCCACTTTTTTATGGATCCATAGATGTGCGCAAAGAGGAATTAATTTATAGATGGTCATGCCTGAAAGATCCTGGAAGCCTGATGGAAAACAACATGGAAAAAGCCATATACGTATTTTTAAGAAAACTCTCAAAACAAAAACCCTGGTTCGTGCCTGGTACACAAGAGTGAAGGGACAGTGGGCCTTCTCCATGGTCTGCAGAGACCTGGGGAGGGCCTCATGTGTATGTGCAGGAGGGGCTTCCAGAGAACAAGCCCCTGAGACAACAACCTTTTCCCCATCTCCAGGTCCAGTACTTTCTGCCTCCAGAAGGTCCAAAGGAAGGAAGGGAAATCAAGGCAGGGAAGGGAAATAAGAGGGGCAGGGGCAGGTCTGCAATGGCCAGCTCCCGGGCTCGGCTGCACCGTCCCTCCTCCAGGAACGTCTAGCCCCATCGGCAGGAGTCTCATCATGTCTCAGTTCCTCCCACCTGCCTGCCACGCTGCAGCCCAGGCCTCATTCTAAAACCCGGCGTTTCCACTGCCCGCAGCCGTAGTCATGTCCTGACCATGGCCCACCGGCCGTCCCTGGTCTGGTCCCTCTCCCCCTGGTCCCCTCTCTACGGCCCCCACTTAGCACTCCAATGGCAGCCACCACCAATGGCCTGTCCTGGGGTGGATCTGGTCCCTCAGATCTGTGTCTGAAAGCAGAGAAGGCAGCCGAGGAATATCCCCCCATGTCCCAGAGTTCCTACAATGAAGGGTCCACAGATTAGTACCTAACGCAAGCATTCTCACTCCAGAGCATCTTGTTTTCCCCTCCCAGCAACTGAATGGGATTGAGAGAACTCAGGTATCCTGCCTACGTTCCTCACTGAAAAAATTACATGCGTGTATTTCTGTGTTCCCAGCTCTTAGCACTGGGCCCTGCCCACGGGAAGGGTTCAATACAGATGTGATGAGACAGAGCTGATATTTCATACCAGGTCTGTCCAATGCCATGGTCTGAGGAAGGAGTGTGAGTCTGAAATCGGTCCCTAGAACTAGGGGTCA